ATTACTATTAGGGTTAGCATATATATTGTGCATGCATGTATAGCTTTATGGTATCGGTTTTCATTAATTACTTTGCATTGTAACCCTAGCACACCTCTACAGTCGAAGTTATTCATCGAGCTCTTCTGAGGTGTGAGTTATTAATCATTCGACATCATTTGATCTATTCCTGTGTTCTTTACTTGATTGGTATTGTTTTTCTGCTTGGAATCTATCGATCTATAGCGTAATATTCTCATCAGGGTATAAATTTTTAGGGTTTTTATATTGTTTTGAAGATTGAAAAAAACCTATAAATTAGAATTGGATTTTTGTTGTTTTTAAAAAGTGTCGTTATTTAGTTTCTTAAATGTTGTAAAGATTGAGTAAATAATTTCTAGATTAGATTGTATCATCGATTTACTTTTATAGAATTAAAAGTGTTTATTAGTTTCTTCCTCTGACTTTTTACAAATGAAAATATATGACCATATTACGTATTAGTACTCTAAAAATCTGGGGGGTCATGGCCTCCCTTGGCCCCTTAAAGGTTCCGCCACTGTATGTATATATATATATATATATATATATATATATATATATATATATAGAAGTAGGTTCATTTAAAAACATGAATTAGTGTGAATACGTGAGGACGATTTACAACCAATCAAATTTTATCATTTTAAAAAATAATTAAATTTAATTTTAAGGGTAAACATGTCAATTTACAGAAAAGTCAAACAACTAATTAAAACAAATTGCCTGTAAATATGCTAATTGATCTTTCCATATTCCACAATTGAAACCCACGTATTATTAATTTCGTGTTATGAGTCTTAAAATCATCGTATGATTCATCGTTGAAACGATTTGATTATTCTGTTAATCCATATGGATTGTCATACAGTAGACGGTGGCCATGCTGATTTCAATTCAATGCAGGATGGAATAGATTATACTTATCATGAGAGTCCGTTCGATGAACAACAACATGGAACTGATCAAAATCCAGGTTTAATTTCATGGACTTTTTCTTAATTGTTAACTTCATTTTCTCTTATTCAGGTTGTATATTTTATGTTAATTCATCATCATTTTTTAAGGAGAAGATTGTGATATTTATGATAATATTGATGAAGATGCAAACGATTTACGTAATAATTCGATTGAAGACGAGGCATTGAGTGGATTTGATGATAATCAATCTAATGATAATCATCAACATGTGATTATTAATGGATAACAGTATTGGATTCCAAAGGTACCTGATGAAGTTAAGCCGAAAGTCAAAGGCCATTACAAGTCGTATGAAGATATAACATATATGTATTATAAGTACGCTCTTGCAGCAGGTTTTGATGTCAGAAAAACGACGAATAGGAAAAATGCGCAGGGTATTATTAGATTGAGATACCTTGTGTGTAACAGACAAGGTCTTCCTAATACAGGTCCTATTGATACATTGAACCCAATCAAATGTAAGATTCAAAGAAGGACTGATAGTCGAAGGACTGGATGCAATGCATGTATCAGATTTAGTATGATAAAAGGAAGGTCTACATGGTTGCTATATGAGTTTGTAGAGGAACATAATCATGAACTTATGTCTCAAGATAACATATTGTTTTCCCGATACCATAGACAACTTAATTCATGGCAGAAATCGTTCATTATCAGTCTTTCTAATCAGAATGTTGGTGCCACCGAAGCTCACAGGCTCTTTACTGCTATCAATGGTGGATACAACATTATTGGAGGCACAGTTGATGATTTTAAAATTTTGATGAGGGATCTTAATTGCTTCATAGGTGGAACTGATGCGCAAATGTTAGTCGATAAGATGACTAACAGAACAAAAAGTGTTCCTAATTTTTCATTCGACTTTAGAGTTGAAAATAAGCAACTCAACGTTATATTTTGGGCTGACGAGACCTCAAAGATAAATTATAAAGTGTTTGGTGATGTTGTCTCCTTTGATGCCACATTCCGAACGAACAGGTTATGTATATTTTATGTTTACGTTTTTTGTTTTAATTTTAATTTCTTAATCTTTTCAATGTAAATTTTACCACTTTTTAGGTATGACATGGTATTTGTTCCTTTCACCGGAATCGACAATCACAAAAAATGTGTTACTTTTGGTGCCAGATTGCTTAGCAAAGAGGATATTGACTCATACACATGGTTGTTGAAATCTTTTCTTAAAGCCTTTGGTAAACAACCAATATTGGTGTTATCTGACGAAGACCCAGCGATGAAAAGCGCTATAGCCAAGGTTTTCCCAGATTCAATTCATAGGTTGTGTATGTGGCACATCACTTCCAAATTACCATTGAAGGTTACAAGATTTTATTTAATAAGCTTTCAGTCAACATTGCATTCATTATGAATCATTGTTAGTTATATTATGAAAAGAACCATTGATAATACTTTTATATCTCTAACATATATTTCTACATTGAGTAATTGTATTTAATATTATTATACATTCAATAATATTACCTTTATATATTCTTGACTGATTCAATGATTGTGATTTTTAACACTTTGCAGATGTTCTCATTCTAAGGTATCATTGGATATTGTCAATGACGAGGAATTCAAGTTACAGTTCAACTCCTTGATTTGGATTTCTAAGCTTGAAGAGAAAGATTTCGAACAGGGATGGCAAGCACTATTGGATGAACATGATCTTAACGACAATACTTGGTTAAGGAGAATGTATAACTTGAGACATTCATGGATTCCTGCCTTTTTCAAAAGAGTCCCTATGTTAGGTCTCATGAGAACAACATCTCGTTCTGAGGGTCAGAACTCAGTCTTTCATAAAAACACTCATTATGGATCCACTTTAGTAAACTTTATGATTTCGTTTGAATCTGCCATGGAGAAGCAACGTTATACTCAATCCTCTTTGGACTTCAAAACAAAAGACAAATTCCCTAAAATGAGAACAAAATTTCCAATAGAGGAAAACACTTCTTTATTCTACACACGTAAAGTGTTTAGATAGGTTCACAATGAAATATACAGGTCAATGACAACATGTTTCTCGTTAAATCATAACATCGTTGACCATGTTCATGAGTTTCTGATAAAAGAATTTAGGCCACATGGATCTTCCACCTCGAATCGAGCTGAGTCGGATATCGACAGTGATGATGATGATGACAAATGGGATAAGATGCTAAGAGACTCTATATATACGGTATTATTTTAAACTCTTGTATCAGTTTTTAAACACACAAAATTTTGCATATATATGTAATTATTTTTGTATGCAGGTTAAATGTGACCAGAAAGAAGACACATTCATTTGTAGTTGTATGAATTTTGAAAAATTTGGGATTCTTTGTCGCCACATTTTTACTGCAATGAAAGCCTACAACATCCAATTCATACCAGCGAAGTATCTTCTAAGGCGGTGGCAGAAGGATATTATTCCACCTGAATTGTTACGACGATGTTTCCGGTATTCAGATTCTGATGAGAATATTCAAAAAGTAGCAATCGACATATTTTCAACGGTTGATAACTGTCTCTCTTCTTTGAGCACCAACAAAGAAAGACTTGAAGAGTATTATGAAGCACTTAAGGAATTGGAGAGCAAGTTTATCGCCAGCATTACTATCCATGAACGCCCAAACAAGTCAACGGACTTTGGAAATAGACTTGGTGTGTCGATACCCGCAGATGTTCAAATTCAAAACCCCACTGGAATTAGGAACAAAGGGTCTAGGACTAAAAAAAGGATTAAAGGTGCTCAAGAAATTGCAGTTCAAAAATCACGTTGTAAGTACTGTCGTAAGGGTAACGATCATGACTGGCGGAATTGTCCTTCAAGAAAGGAAGATGAGAAGAACAACATTTTTAAAGAACATCCTGGAATTTTAGTTTTTCATATTAATTTGTTTGGTTTGTTTACTTTATGGTAAAACAATTGTTACATTCTCAGTCAATTGTCATTTTTCAGTATTATGTTAGTATAATTTGTGTAGCCAATTTAGCATTTACTTTCAAACTGTGTTTATTAAGTGGCATTAAGTGGCATTGAAATATTTTTTAAAGCTTATACGTATACAACAATCAATACATTACACATGTCATTATTTGATTAATAAATTCATATTTAAAACTACAATTACTTCATAAAGTTAAGAGTATATGCACTTCTAAAAGATGTGTCTTTTTCATTACATACTTGTTTACATACGGAAAACATTACATTATTCTAAAATTTTATTTGACAATTATTCGATTCAGAAAGTATAAAATCAAAATTTATTACATGATTCTAAACAGAAATATGTTTAACTACTAACTTCATCTTCACTACAATCAATATATATCATCTCCGTTATACGTATTTATAAATTCATTAAACAGAAATACTCTATTTTCATACAGAAACCAATCATCATATGCACTTAAAAAAATATGTCTTATTCATTATATAAATGTTGATAATACCGCTTAATATATACTTCAACTTAAAATTATGATACATATTCAATTTTTAAGATACACATGAAGCTGTGTTAGATTACATAAAGTTGTGTTATATCATGTTTTAAAAAAAAAGTAATTACTAACCGCATGTATCTCATTTTAACATCCATATATTAACCAAAAATGTTAGTCTAATAGTTATTTAAGAAACATTTACATGATGCTTTATAGTATTTACAATATGCACCACAAACCCATACATTTAGAATGATATGAGTCATATTTCATATATTAATTGACCTTCGCTCAGTGTCATATACCATACATTACATATGTAAGATTGGCAAAATTTATGTTCACACTACTTATAATAACCATTTTTTCACATTAAATTATCCCAGCACATAGTTTTACTTAGAATACGTCCAACACATACAAATCCAAACAAAATTAGCATATTCCAAAAAACCAACATAACAAAACATTTCAAAGGTCATAAACGATCATCAACTTTTATAATACTAAAAAACAAGATTAAAAAAACACCATCTTCTTCACAAATCATTCTACTACACCACACCTGTGATTTCCTTCTTCTTTTCTTCAATCAGCTTCATCCTTTCAAACCTATCCATTTTTTTGATAGCTGCATAATGCTTCACAAATGTTTGCTTCATAACATTAAAATCTGACATCATCAACTTATCCAGATACTTATACCTTAACTGTCCCAAAATCTTTTCTTGAATTTTATTACCAACACATAGTCCACAATCCCATTATGTGTCGCTTCTCCCATGTATGTTTCCATGCGTCGCATAAGGAAAATTCCACAGTCAACGCCAACTATTTTCCTTTGACACTTCATTTTTATAACCACAACTTCTTTTTTAAGTAACACATTTGCTTTTTTGTGTTCAACACTATTCAGATAACGACAAAAGAAACTTTGATGCATGTCAAATTAAATAATAATTCATATTATAATAAACATATAACAACACTAATGACAATCTATATATGAAATTATTAGAAATACAACAAATCTAACCAGGATACGTGGTCTATTCCCATATGCAGACTCAATTGTCCCCGACCTCTTGATGTGATCAAATATATAAAATGCAACCCTTTTCAAGCAAAAACACACTAGGTAGTAATTGTCGTCAACAACAACTGGTATGAAAACCTACAGTTACACAATATCAACATCAGTTCAACATAAATGTGTAATACAAATCATGTTTAAATACTGTAAAATTTAATAATTCTATACCAAGTCCACCGTTTTCAAATCGGGTTTGTCCGATATGTCATTAATCACAGCTACAAACATAATTTTGAATTTATTGTACCTCAGCTCCTCATCTACAGCTTCATTAACCATGTACTCTGTCTGTTTGATGATAACAAAAAAACGACAATATTACAATTCATAGCGGAATATGACGTAGACCATACATATTATTATTAAAAACTTACAATCGTATCGCATGTGAAGTACATCCTAGAGTAAGAAGCCTCTGACTTCAGTTCCTCAGCTTTATTATGGAAAGCAGCCCACGTGTCTATTACATTTGTATGCACTTTTGTTCTCATAGCTAACGTATGTGCAGATTCCAAATGCATTCCATGACCTTCAATAGTTTCCCATATAATTTCACTGTAATTGTAACATAAAAAAATAACACTGTCACGACAATAAATAAAAATTCCATTTCTATTGACTCACATAAAATGTACATTCTTACCCTTTATCTTTTCCCCATACTATTATGCTTTGAGCCACAACGTTTTCATCATCTTTAACCGCCTCATCCACATCCGTAATCCGATCTACATATGGCGAACACACCAATTGTCCAAGTTTCCCCTTCCTTTTACCTTTTCCATTATTGAAGTCAACAAGATGCACCTTTTCACTTTACATAACATCTTTTCCATTTCGTTTCTTTAGTTTATCTTCCGCTACGAATTTTTTTGTATATCTAATTACTGCCTTACTTCCTTCATTATCATCCATATTTTTATCTTCGTCATTCAATTGTGTTATTCTCAAATCGAATGATGGTATGTCATCTTTGCAAAAATCCTTTTTCCTTCTCATGCTCCTTTCCACAATTTCATCAGACATATTCAGAAAACCAGGAGTCAGAACAACCGGACTATCCAATGATGTATTTCCTTTATATTCCAGAAAGAGTACTGAAGGTGAGTCGCACCCATCCACAACCTTTGTCTTCTCGTTATTCTCTACACTAGACTGAACATTGCATATTGGACTACTTCCTTTCACAAAATTACTTTGCTCAGAATTGACTGCAACTTTAACGGGCGTTTTCATTGTTGCTTCATTTGCTTCATTTTTTGGCGAGCTATTATCTCCATGTTCCACAGTCGTCGCATTAAAAAGTTGGCTCACCTTTCGTGACCACTCTTTTACCTCATCATCATTCCCATCATTTTCTAACCCCTTCTTAATTGCTTCCTCTATTTTTTTCTTATCGTCACAGATCCTACAATATAGCATTTCAATTGTTTCCACCCCTACCTGTCATTGTTATTAAAACAAGTTACACATTTTTCTTATGAATTATAATGTAATTTTTAAGCAAAATACATGACACAAATAATCAAATTACTTACCAGCTTATCCTGATCATCATTTACATCAATAAGATCCACTTCCCCATCTCCACGAAACTCCAATGTTCCAAATTTTCCCATTCGCAAACCATGCTCTTCCAACATTTCCAAATCCACCGAGTCAATCTGTTTTATCAATGGCCTTGATCTACGAATATTATAACCATTCAAAACTACTTTGTCTGCGTACGCAAGCTGTAACAACATAATTAATGAGTTATCAATTATTATTTCCATTACAGAATAAAAAATAGTACAAACGTAAATGCACATAATTACAATAACTTACCAGTAAGAGAGTGGCTGGACCTGTGTAATAACAGTTTGCGTCATTTGGCCTCCATTTGTATTTTTCCTTCTCCAAACATTCCACTATATACTTGCACCAATCAATCTTTTGAATATCTTCACACCTTGCTAATTTCTCCAGACAATTAATTCGGCTTGCCCCACTCATCTCTATCTCCGCAAACGTGTTTATGAATAATGCCAAGAAATTAAGCTTGAACATGTCATCCGCCACATCCGATTGTCTAATCCTCTTCACATAGTTTCCATTATTGAACTTTCCTCCTGGATATTGACTTTTCCATGCTTCAATCACCGAATCTATTTTATCGCATTCCACCAATTGGTTGTAGTCTAAACCTTCACTTGGCAAACCAAACATTTCTTCAACCGTTTTCTTTGTAATATTTATTCCCCCTTTCTTAGTCTTAATGGTCGCTGTTCTTGCTACGAATTTGTCCACCAAGTAGTAAGCCAATCTAGAAGGTATTGAATCTAACTTTATATTAAGGAACGCACCGAAACCCATTCGTCTCACCATTTCTTTCTGAGTGTACGACATTCCCTTCACCGCCATATACATTGATTTTGGGGACATACGACAACTTAGTTTTTGCAACTCTTTACTTGTGTCGTCCTTAACACCTACATCTTCATTTTCTACTACATTCTCTCTTTTCGATTTTCTCTTCTTCATTCCTTTCTTATTAGACTTATCCAAGTGGGATATTATTGGAAAAGGTGTCTTAAGCCCATAACTATAATTGGTCTGTACTTGACCCGATAGTAGAATGGTCCATTTGGGTTGCATTCATCAAAGCAATATGTTAGGAAGGATATTTGAGTAAGAGATTTATTATGATTTAGTAATATATTATAAGTATAACATATTAATTGAGAAAATCATATTATTTAATTAGAATTGATCAAGAATTAATTTATGAATTAATTTAGTGATCAAAATAGAATAATTAAATTGATACGTATAGATTGGGCTAATGATCCATGATTGATTTTTGATGGGCTTATGGGTTAGTCCATGAAGTGGTTATCCAAATCAAATGGGTGGATCATAAGCTTTTGGGTATGGATTATGCAGCGGACGGCTAATACGTGGACGGTGAATAGTTTCCTATCGGCGATTAGGTTTCTTTTGGCCAATTTTTCCTTTCCGCCCGCGAACAGTTATGTTTTCGGTTATTAGTTTCCATTCTGAAATAAGTAATGTATCAAAAATATGATTTCCATTAGGTTTTAGTGCTTAGTGTATAGAATTTTGGATTTAGAATTTAGAATTTTGGTTTTTGGATTTTTGGTTTAGATTTTCTGTTTCGGATTTATGATTTTCGGTTTAAACATGAAGATTTAGGGTTTAAGCTTGGAGTATGTATTATATTTTTCTTTTGACTACATCTCATATTCCTAAAAACACGTAAGCACAGTCATTTTCTTTCGCCAACATTGCAACGTAACGATGACGAATAGGTTTTTTTCTATGCTTAGCTTCCGTTCGACAATTGGTTTACTTTCGTAGGTGTCGACGTCTTTAATCAGTAGAAATGTTCCTTTGAAGGGTCCTCAATTATCAAATTTATAACCAAACTTTGAATTGTCAGAACTATAAAAATTATTATAGACTTTGAATTTGCCTTATATTGATCTATTTTGCCTTTTCACTAAAAAAAATAAAAAAAAGTCAAAAAATTAAAAAATTAAAAAATTAAAAAAAAAAGATTCCCTACTTAACTTTCATTGTTCGATAGCTCTTCTTTTTCAATTGGATTTGGACTTTTCTTTCCATAGCATGTGAATAACATTAGAACCCACGTCACTAACCATGTATTAAAGATTTACTTTGCTTTTTTCTCTAATATCCCACGTCCAACTTTCCATTCAAATAAGTTTAATACTATAATTTAAGTTGGTACATGAAAAATATATTGTTTTGGACAAATTAAATGGTAAAAGCTATATAGATCTTTATGTTGATTGAAATAGCAAGAGTAGAGGTAAGGCTAGGTACCGTTTTGGTAGCCCCTTTTTTGCTTCTTCTTTTTGACTTCTTGACATCATGTTGGTAAGAGAATGGATGGGAAAAAAAGACAAATGAGAAGCGTATAGACATTGTACGATTTTGCAGCCTTTTTTCTGTAGTTTTTTTTTTTTTAAAATTTTGAATTTTGAATTTTTGAATATGTGGGGAAGAGAGATGTAAGCAAGAAAGCATGGGTGTAGCTAGGCTACAAGAAAACATGGGTATAGCTAGGTAGGCTTGCATGGGAAATGAGTGTAAAAGGGAGGTAGGGTCCTAGGCTCGCACGAATTATAAGGATAAAAAAAATGTTTTCTTGTACTTTAAAACTAACTTGATTTTAATAAACAAAAGTGGTCTTAATTTCTTCAACTTTTGGTGGACGTATACAAAAAACTATTTTTTGACATACTTTATTTTCCCCTTTAATATTTTTTGGTTGTAAACTGTACACGTCAATCTCTTAGATTGCATTTTTTTTAAACTCTTGGACTAAGATTTTTTGACCTATTTTCTTTTTATACATTTTTTTAATCGATCAGCTTTTGTTGACACAACAAATTACCACATTAACAATAAACAACATCATTACCACAATAAATATGAAGTTACAAAACCCATACACATTAGGATGATTTTGACAGAATTAATTTCAAGTCCAGGCCATTTTGGAGTTTTGAAGATCAGATTAAATAAGGAAATCTGCAAAATTACATTCTGAAATAATGAAAACCAAAATATGCATCTTCAAAATTACATAATATAAAAGTAAACTGCCCCTCTTTCAACTTTACATAAATTACATTCTTCAACAAACATTGCCAACTCAATATTTTAATTACTAAAATCTATCCACTATAATTTACAGTTGGTAACATTAAAACTATCTATCGTATAAAATCTCAAGAAGGAAATAACTATTTTCTCAAAATCTTTCATAGAGAAAGCTAAACCACGTCTAAAATGATTCATTTTTAGCTAACCATTTCCAAATGGTACCTACATTTCACTTAGACGACCCTTGCAATGTTTTTGAGAAGAAACAACTCTACTTTAGTCGCAAGTTTCATCAAACCACATGCTATAACTGTAAAAACAATATTAAACATTAGTGTAAATTTTACTCTAAAATTCAAGAAAATATCACACTAATGAACCTGAAAAGTTCATAAAAAAGAAGTTTCAAACTTTTACTCCTTTATGATCAAAGAATAATCACATTCCAGATGAAAAAATTCCATTTTACTCATGAAGTTCATACCTGTGATATAACCAATATGCGACCCCTCTTTCTTCATCTCCCATGAAAGCTGATGCTAGAGTTGTAGTCCATAAAGATGATGTTCAGGAGAACCTGTTTACATAAATATTTTAAAGATAAAGAAACATCATAAATTGGAAAGATAGTGCGAACATTCATGGAAATAATAAGAACCACACATGAAAAGAAAAAACAACACATAGATCTGGATAAAATGTAAAGATTTTTGATCCGGGACAATTCCGAACACCCAATACCTAAGAATTTTAATTGGAGGGTTCCAAGATGCAGACATCAGGGTTTCTTTGTCTGCATTATTCGTGGGAGGTCAAAGATACAAATACCAAAGTCGGGACCTGTATAAACAAACAAACAAACACACAGTTAAAGAGAGAGAAAGAGAGACTCAATGTCCTTCATGTAGATTATAAAATTGAAACTGAAGCTCATGACATACATTGAACAGACCTGGAAACAAATGATCTGCAAAATTTCAAAAAAATCAACGATATGAAAGGGGATATGTTTAGAAAGACCAAGATGAGCATCAAATGGCTAGTTTGTTCAATATTTCCAAAGATATTAGAAACAAAAAAACAAAAAAAAGTATGACCTGTTAAAAAGTTAAAGCAGCAAGAACCAACACCAATGGTAGATCGTTAGACATTCTTTAGAAGGTTTGCTGCAGATTTTCGGGACTATTAGGGGTTGTTTGCTGCAGATTAGTAAATCAAACATGTTATAAAGATTTCTACAAAAAAAAACATAAATCACACGTGTATTTGAGCCCTAGCACGTGAAATCGAAACACATATGTTAACATACACAAAAAAATGAAAGAGACGTTGACTCTATATCTACCGATGGTGAAGCGGAATTGATTGAAGGACACGCCGAATAGCATAATCCTCGGTGAGTAGTAGCTATGAGGAAGGGTTTTGATCAGTGGCTTCTGTGGTGGTGTAGATGCGACACTGTCTTTACTTGTATCAACGTAGATAGATGGCGAAGGGAGGAGGAGGGTTGGGGATAATGGAATTGTCGATGGGTGCGGCTGGAATAAGATATCAGATGTATCTAATGAGAATTTTATTGTATCAAAAGGCATATGGGAGTGTTTATCCGTGTGTAGAAGAGTCTCAATACTAAAGACTCTATTTTGATTGGTTGTAAGCAACTCACATGGATCACCATTAGTGTAATGCTCACCCTCCAATGTAAATTCAAAGGTCTAGATGTTGTTTCCTTGAGTTTTAAGACAATTGTCTTAAATTGTAAAGGGCCCACACTTATAAACTCTTTATAAGATGGTATATATATATATATATATATATATATATATATATATATCTTATTAGACTTATCCAAGTGGGAGACTACTGGAAAAGGTGTCTTAAGCCCATAACTATAATTGGTATGTACTTGACCCGATAATAGCATGTTCCATTTGGGTTGCATTCATCAAAGCAATATGTTAGGAAGGATATTTGAGTAAGAGATTTATTATGATTTAGTAATATATTATAAGTATAATATATTAATTAAGAAATCATATTATTTAATTAGAATTGATCAAGAATTAATTTATGAATTAATTTAGTGATCAAAAGAGAATAATTAAATTGATACGTATAGATTGGGCTAATGATCCATGATTGATTTTTGATGGGCTTATGGGTTAGTCCATGAAGTGGTTATCCAAATCAACTGGGTGGATCATAAGCTTATGGGTATGGATTAGGGTTCACATGACCCTTGATATTCTACACATATATATGTATCTATAAGCTTAAAATTGGTTACACCTTGCATTCCAAGAAGTAAGAACCGATTTTAGAGTCTCCATAACCTCTCCATATTCATCCTAATTGTTCTTGGTGTTTTGTGATTCCATTTGATGCATGACATTTGGGGTGTTAAGCTTTCTTGAGGCCAAGTCATTCAAGCTACTACACAAGGTAATATTCTAACTAGTTTTTATGATTCCATTATCCCCTTGCATGCTAGTTTAGGCTTCATGCTTTGGAAAATATTTATTGCATGTATAATTAGAGAAAACTTAGATCCAAAGAATTAGGGTTGTATGTGCACCATAGGAATGCTAGAGTACATAAAACCAACAATGGGTTCATCATAAAATCGCGGTTTTATTTCGTTACCATACATAATCGACATTTGGTTTATACGGTGGTTTTGTTCACTGATACTAGTTGAAAGAAACTGTAGGTAGTGGAATAGTTTATGACCCAAAATGATAAGTGTCAATGTCAGAAATTAAGTTATATAACACTTAATTAATATCATGACACGATTGATTAATGTTTAATAACTTACAACTAATAAGTTATTTATTTAAACCCTTTGTTCTTGTATGAAAACACTATATGTATGTGGGAGGAGTTTG